TATAGCCAGGCTTCGGGCCCTGCGCTGTCAGGGCTCGTGGCGTCGCTCCAGCTTCAGGCTCCTGTCTGTCTGATACAGGCCGGGAGCAAGAAGGAGGGTTTGAGTTTTTTCATCTAGTTCTTAGAACTCTGTGGAATGGTTTTTAGTTACATTATTCAGTAGGCTTTAAGAACGCTAACAGTGAAAAGCATTCACCTTGTAGGGAACGTTGTAACTCAGAGGAAATTAGCGTAATTTACTAATGTTTTCAATGATGTTAATTTAAATTACTGTGTACATGGTACTTTTGGTGGGAGGGAAATTGTTATTTTTAGAAAAACATTCAATGGACCATTTTCCAGAGACAGTCTATTAATTATGTCTACTGTTGTTCATCTTGAGAGTCTGAAAATCTGTTAACCACATTTCTAGAAGCGTTAGGTAGGAGGCAGGAAGGTCTGCAAACTCTCCAGGAATTGCTGCCCTGGATTCTCATTGCGGGGATTCCAACAGCTGCCTGACTCTTTGGCAGGTGGCAGGGTGGCTGAACAGAGGGGATGCATGTGGGCATCAGATCTGGGAGGCCCACTGAAGGTGCCAGAGTGAGCCGTGGCCAGAAGCGAGCCTCGCCGCCCGCACCGTCAGGACCCCAGCAGGCTGCGGCAGGAGCCAGACATGCTGCTGATGGTCACAGCACCACTGCAGACTGTGGCAGGCAGCAGGCTGGCATGAGGGCGCAGCCATGGCCTCCGGACCCAGGCAGACCCGTGCGCGTATCTGAGTTCTCCCTCACTTCCGGAGAGCTGTAGCCTGATGCCTCGAGCAAGTAACTTCCTGCTTGGGATCTCAGCTCCGTAGTCTACAAAGTGAGGATGAGGCCTACTTCAAGGTTGGCTGAGGGTTAGACCCAGCACGTGCCGAACAGAGTGCTGAGCACCCAGAAGGCTCTCCATAAGCTATAACTGTTAGGACCGTGGGCAGTGAGAGGACTCACCGGGCACAGCCTCTCTTGGGTGCGCCTGCTGATCGGTACAGAAGACGGTGCTTCAGCCTTCAGCCTTGGTAGCCCCCACGAGGGCTCTGGCTGCTGGCTGGAGGGACAGCGGGGGCTTAGGAGAGTTCTCAGCCTCTGCACACAAAGGCAAGATCCTTGGAAATGAACAGTGTATTAATTTAGATATTTACCCATTTCAGAGTTTAGCCAGAGATTGAGGCCAGAACTCTGTTTTTTATTCGATCCCCTTTCAAAATGTTCTGTAGCTCTTTATACTTTCGCTCTTGATAGTTCATCCATCCTTTCTCATTCATTCATTCATGTATCCATTCTTTCATTCAGTCGCTATTTCCCAAGCCTCTGCTGTGTGCCAGATACCATGCCGGGCCCTGGGGGATACAGAGAGCAGGCCCTCGTGGTCTCAGCGCCCAGGAGTTTATAGACTAGTCTCACTACCAGTCATCACCCGGCACTCACTGGGGCCATGTGACTCCCACCATCCCGCTCTACCCAGCTTCTAGAGCCACCGAGCCTCCAACTTCCTTAGAGTACATACTCACCGTCTAGCAGCAAAGCCTTCAACACAGGTGCCATCTTTGCTTATTCTACATCAGCCGGAGATAGAACAGGAAGCGCCTGGTGTGAGAGCGTGTGGTCACCACCTTGCCGCTGGGAGAGCGTGACCAGCATATCCAGGCTGCAGGGTCCGCTGTGCTTTGGGCTTGTGCCCAAAGCGTCTTAGGGCGGAAGCGTAGGAGAGGGGCCGAGGGGAGAAGAGAGATGCAGATGACACAACAGAACTTGTCTTAACCTTTCCAGGTCAGATATTTGTGGTAGCTTTGTGTTTGATTTGGAAGATGACAAGCTTTCAGAAAAGCAGAAACACTGTCATTCAGACTCCATGCTAATACATGTGCCAGACAAATAGGGATGACTTGGGGACTATTTCCTATGGTGGCTTATTTTTTTACTGCAACTCTCAGTGAAGTTAGATAATTGCAAGGAGACTATAGTCTCATTTATCTGAACATAATCAAGACATGAAATGGGGTGCTTCGTTGAGCCCTGAGATTCCATTAGGTCACACCACAGAGGGAAACCATAGTTGCAGTAAAGGAACACTAGTAATTTTTGAGTACCTACTGGGTGGCAAACACGGTACAAAATGCTTGACACAGATGAAGGAAGTCAGTCCTCACAGCAGCCCTTCAGAGTAGTTGCTATAATCCCCTGTTTTATAGGTAAGAAAATAAAGGCTCAGAGAACTGAAGGGACTTGCCCAGCATCCAGGTTAGGTAAGTGGCAGGCCTGGATTCGGCCTCCTTTCTGGCTGGCTCCAAAGCCTGTCCCTACCACACCATGTTGGTTTTGTTTCACGGAGGGCCATTTCCTACAGACTCACGCCAAAGCCCATGGGAAGAAGGAAGGAGAAAGGAGTAAGTGCTGAGGCAATGTGGATTATGGTTTTCCTAAGTGGACCAAGCCACACAGCTCCTCTTCCCAAATGGTCCCTTCCCTGGTTGGGCAGAAGAGCTGCTTGGGATAATACAGTGGATAATGTGTTTCAACATAGGCCCTGGAAAATGTAGCCTCAGTTGAGCAGATCGGAAATGGCCATTCCAGCCATCCTGTAATAGTATGGAAGTGAGCAGAAGTTGGGGGAAGGGGACCCTGCTCACAGCACCTCTTGTACTAAATCCTCTGGTGTTTTGTGACTCCGTGCAGGCTGGGGTGCGCCGGTGCAGAGTCACCAAGGGCCCTCCCCTTTCAGTCTGCATGTGTCCATATCCTTGAGCACAGAGAGCCTCCTACCAGAGGTTTTGCATTACCTGGAACAGGATTCTGTACTTAGGCATTTCACCCGCTATTCTTCCAAACTGGGAGAGGGGGAGCTTCTCCAAGGGAATCTGCCACATCGCTTGTGCTGTTTCCCCCATACCCTCTAGGATTATTAGAAAGAAAAAAAAAAAGTTCTGGAAATGAGCTGCCACGTCAGTAGCACTTGAGCAGATTTGCTCACTAATCTCCATTTTTCCGGAAGAGTAAAAAAATTTTTTTTAAAAATCAGACATTTTAGCCAACTTTATTTTTAGAAAAGTATTTTATTCAAACATCGCCTTACTTATTACAGACATAAATACATGCATTCAGACAAATGAATCCACGGGAGAACCGTATAAAGTAATTGGCACATCACTTCAGGATGCTTTGTCAGTTACTGGAGGAGTTTGGTGCCTCTAACTTTAATCTTTTCCATTAAAATATCCATTCTGCCTTCAGATTGTGAAGCCCATAATATTTTAGACTGTCTCCATAGATCTGTTAGCTTTGCTTGTCAATTTAATTTGTGGCTCTACGACTTTGGGTGACTTGTCAGATTGTACATGGAAGCATGTAATCTACAAGTCATGTTCAGCATGCCAGGCTTGAGACCTCGTCTCTCCCCAGAAAGACTGGACATACAGTAAGTGTGGAATTGGCCAGTTTCATCTGCAACCAGCCTGTTAGGATGACGACGGTGATGATGTATGGGATGGCGGATATTTCTAACTACAGAGATGCTCATTACTGTTGTTAACATATACCTTAAGCGTTTATGGCACGTTTTCCTCTCTGCAACACTTTTTTTTATCCACCATCTCATCTGATTCTCAGAGCTTTCTTGGGCTAGATTATTATTTCCCTCTTGATAGCTAATGAAACTGACACAGAAGCTGGCCTGAGATCGCCAGGCAGATTGGGTTGCAGAAGTGCAGGGGACGAGAGTCGACGCCACCAGAGCCCAGTCAGGGGTCGTGTGGGTGGTAGCTTGGCCACATAACTGCCATTTCCCCTGCGCTCTTTGGGGCACGGGAGCTCAGGGGCTGTGGAAATGGAAGGACTAGAGATGGGAGGTAAAGAGCCCAAGGAAAGGCAAAGTGTACCATCCGCTGAACGCAGGGGAGCAAAGCTTGTTTCCCTGCCACTTGCCCAGAGTAGTGCAGAAACCCCAACCCTGGCCTTCCTCCTTTAATGTCACCTGCAACTGCATGCATTCTACTTGTCCCCAGAGGGATCTTGCCTAAGTGCAGATCTAAGCGTGTCTCTCCTTTGCCACAAACCCATCACAGGCTCTCCCTTCATCACGATGAAGTCCAGGCTCCCCAGCATGGTCTACCAGCCTGGCCCTGGGGTCTGGCTTCTCTGGCCCCCGTCTCTTCTCTCCTGTCACACTCAGTTTTTTCCCAACCTCCTTTTGCACTGCTTTCTCTGCCCAGAACACATTTATGATGCTCTCCTTAAACTGAACCCTCTCCGTGGAATCTTCCCTGCCTTCTCCCTGGAGACCCAGGAGCATCCTTCCCTCCGCTGCTAGCCCACTGCACTTGGCCCAGCCCTATTTCTGGCTATCTGTCTGCTCTGTGCCCTGCCCCAAGAAGCTTCTAGCTCCTCCAGGGCACAGGTCACGGTAGATGCCTGTTCTCTGACCTCTCTTAGGTGTCTTGCAGACTTTGAATTTAAGAGGATACATTTGTATGTACATGTAAAAGTGAAGCGAGTGAGTGAACTAGTGAATGAAGAACAAATGAGCCTGAGCCAGCAGGAAACAGGACCTTCCGAGGTCACATGGAATGTGTCCCGTTTCTCCCTCCCTCTGAGAGATGCTGCCCCTCCATAACTTGGCCTCTAGTGAAATGAGAGGCAAGAAGGAAGGTGAGCTGGGCTTCTACCTGGCCACTTGCATGGAGGAAAGCATACCAGGATTGAGAGGCAGAGACTGATCCTCTTAGCTCTGTAACCTCTGATTTCTGCCCACCCAGAAGGTTCTTACTGAAGCTTTTGGTGGTAGAAACTCTTCCTCAGGGCACTGGGAGTCTTGGCCAAGAGTTCCAGCCTGCAGCATTATAGGCTTGCAGAGTCAAAGCTCTTTGTCCAGGAAGAGCCCTCATGGCTGTTGGCACGACGTAGGGGTAGAAGGTGAGCACATGACAGACCTGGGATTGGGGGGACCTCTGAGCCAAGGTCTTCATTTGACTCTGTCTTCTAGATGATGTCTGTCCTCATGAACACCATTGTCTTTGAAGACTGTCGGAACCAGTGGTCAGTATCCAGGCCTCTCCTGGGGCTCATCCTGCTCAACGAGAAGGTGAGTGTGATTGCGGGAAGGTCCACAGGAGGTGGTCCCTGGGAGGAGGGAGAAGCTGTATGCCAGGCCGAGCTGTGACAAGAAGAACAGAAGGAACAGTGGAGCTTGAGCTGGAACCTTGAACACTCTGGGGCAAGGCCATATTCCCCCAGAAGGCCCTTCCCCAAAGGCCTCACATCCTCTTCAGGTAAGTGCAGGCCTCAAGACCAGCTCTTCTGGAACCCGGAGCCCCCACACGTTGGGCAGGTGGTTTGCTCAGTAGTGCTTCAAGCTCACCCTCATTCCCCTACCCCGTTTCCTGTGGAATTCCGAGCTACAACTCTTTGCTCCTCTTATATTTGGGGTCCTCACTGCCCTATGTGGTCGTCGTCCCTTCAGGGACTCACTGCAGAGCCGGCACCCTCCATCTGAGAGCACAAGTCTCCAGCTCATAAGTGCACTCACCACCTGGGGCGGCCTCCCAGGCCCTCCAGCTTCCTCCCGGACGCACCCCCGTCTCCCCGGCAGTCAGCAGGAACAGTGCATTACTGCTCGAGAGAATGAATTGTCTATACAATAAGATAGTCCTGGGGAGAAAGACAGTGAGATTAGAGGCAGCCGCATACATTAAAATTCAAACTGAAATCCCAGCCTTGGAAGGAAACTAATAGAAGAAGAAAATATATCAAAAAGAGAAGAGCTGTCTCATCATTCACCTGTGCTGAAGTATCCAATTTTAGCCACATTCAATAGCACTGTCATTCATCTTCCCTCGGTGTTATTGTGATTTAAATCCAAGCTCTATAAAAGAGAGCAGTTCTTTTAAAATGATTGAGAGGGAATAAGGGCAAATTCAGTGTTTAGAAAAAGCTTATGACATCACAATATTATACTTTACTGATGGAGGCAATATTTCATGGTTTGGGATGAAAAACTAATAATTTTCTATTTGGTGTGAGTCACTGCATCATTATAAAAGGGAAAAATAAGTAGTTTTGTGCATTCCCAATCTTGTTCAGGAAGACATTGTGGTTTAAGTGTAATGCCCCTGATATATAGTATTTAAGTATTAGTCTGACTACATATTAATTATGTGTGTTTTTGATGTGGGCTGTTTTAATGTATGATGGAAATTAAATATCATGCTGTTTGGGCTTGGATAAACACATGACTGGCAAAATGTTGTCTTTGTGCTGAAATTAAGCTGTTTCCGAAGATGAGGAGCTGTGTGTCGTGTGAGAGCTTGTGTGTGTGTAGAAGCCTGCAGACCCCAGCAGAGGAGAGGGGCTGTGCAGCTCTTTGGGACCAGGCATGACAGGTGTATTTCTTAGTGCAGGAAGGCCCTCCCAGAATGAAGCAAGCCCCTTTAGCACCCTGCCTCAGCAGCGGAACAGACCCAGCCTAAGCCAGCGGACAGGGACTTGGGACAAAGTCCGGGGTTGTGTGAGGAGTCAGTCACTAAAGCCATGGATGATGCTGTAGCCTGAGAGAGGACCCTGAACCTTTCCTCCAGTCACCCCAAGTTCTCCCTGTTAAGTTCTTCCCCTCCGCCTCAGAAGGGAAGAGGCCCTTCCTCTTTTAGCCTTTCTGTGATGAGTGGAGGTGAGAGTCAGGAAGACCTTCACACACTCGGTCCCCCACAGAGGACCTAAATTGTTCAGTGACGGTAGAACAATTATCACAAGAGATCTTTATGAGAAGGGATAATACAGTTTACACCTCGGAATGTATCTGTTGCCTTGGCTTAAAGTTCAAAGTGGTCCTGGACCGAAGCTCCTTTGAGAGTGAGGAGCACTGAGCGGATGGAGCAGGTCGAGACCCTCCCCCACAGCTGTCTCGGGGCCCAGGTTTGGCGTCAAGGCCCTGAGCTGTTCTGTCTCCCCACAGTATTTCAGTGAACTGAGGGCAAGCCTGATAAACAGCCAGCCTGTCCCCAAGCAGGAGGTCCTTGCCCAGTGCTTCAGGAACCTGATGGAAGGAGTGGAGCAGAACCTGTCCATCAAGAACAGAGACAGGTAAGCACTGCCCAGTAAGCTTAACATCTCTGGCTTGTGGAAAATAACTGGATTGTGCTTAACACAGTTCACGTATTGATGTGACTTTTCTGTTACACCTTGTAACCGTAGACTCAGTTTCTTTCCATCCAATAAAATTACTAGGTACTCGCTTTAAAAAAAAAAAAAAAAAAAGATTTTATTTATTTATTTGACACAGACAGAGAGAGAGAGCGCAAGTGAGGAGAGGGGGGAGGAGAGGGAGAAGCAGGCTCCCCGCTGAGCAAGGAGCTGATGTAGGACTCCATCCCAGAGCCCTGGGATCCTGACCTGAGCTGAGGGCAGACGCTTAACCGACTGAGCTACCCAGGTGCCCCATTTGCTTTTTTTTAAGCACCACGCTAGGCACTACATAGGGATGCAGAGATGAATAAAATGCAGCCTGTGCCCTTATGCACTCTATAATCCAACAGAAGATATGAAAAATAACTCACTGAAAAGGTCAAAAGAAGGAAAGCTCAGATCTGCTACGAAGGATGAGGGAAGGCTTCCCGGCATTTGAACAAGCACAGGCTTTGAGGTTAACCGGACTCCAATTTAAATTTTATCCCTGCCTTCTACAGGCTGTGTGGCAGTGAGTAAGGCAGTCAACTGCTCTGGTCCTCAGTTTTCTCACCAACAAAATTGGTTGTGATATTGAAATGACAGAATGTCGTAAAGCATGGTACCTAGGACATAGGAGCCATTAGTTCCTTCCTCTGCCCAACCTTTAAGAGTGGCTGGTTTTATAAAAGTTGCCAATGAGATCTAAATGAAAGGAACCCAGACTTATCAGGTATGCTTTCATCCGTTCATTTATTTAGAGTAGAAAATTTTATTGAGCATCTACTATGTGCCAGGCATTGAGGGTACCAGTGGTGAACTAATTGTTCAAGGTTTTTGCCTCACAGAGCTTCTGATGGAGGAAACAGACCATAATTAACAACGTAGACAGAAATTGTTTTTCAGGGGGGTGGGGTGGGAGGGACTGCCTGCACCATCCTTTTATAAAAGTGGCAACGTTCAGATGCTTCACCATTTGAAATGCGAGTCATCAATCATCCCAATAACCACAGCAGCGTGTGGTGGAGTCACCAGTCTGGGCTCTGGCAATAGAAGGCTAAGTCCCATAGGCTCTGCAAACACACGCTTGACTGCTCGTCCCGTGCCACGATCCTCTGGCAGGCAGAAGAGATTGAATGAATGGGGACACCGCAGGTGCCTGTTGGGGGAGAGATTGCATCACTTGAGGCTTGGGAATTTGAGGACCCCCTCCTGAGCTGCTCTGTGAAATGATGCCAGACTGCCCTCCCATTTAAGAGAGTACAAATGCTTTCCATGTGCTGTGCAGTAGGTCGAGTACTTACGGGCATTGTCTAAACTGATTCAGTAAATTCTCACTAACCACAATCTCATGAAGTAGCCACTCCAGTCGAGCACCAAGACAAGAGGTTAAGTGTTCATCCACGATCACTCCACTAAGAAGTGGTGGAGTCAGGATTCGAACCCAGGTAATCTAGCCTGGTTTTCTCATCTGCAAAATGAGGATACGAATACCTGCCTTTGGGAAGACTTGTGATGCTTAGATGAATTTATATGTAAACTCAACCCAGTGCCTGGCACATAAACTTTGAATCATTTCTTTATATTCCTTACCATCTGTGTGTAATTTGACTTTTAAGAACAGTTTTTAAATAGTACGCCCACCAAATGTGCCCCTCACAATGGTCCAGGTGTACCTGGCGGTAAGCCTTGTTTTCCGGGAGGGGAAGGAGGGAGGGGGTGTTGGTGGCAGAACAGTCGTGGGGCAGTGGAGGTGGGAAGTGGGAGCTTGGCCAGGATCTGGGGCTCTCTCCAAGGTCCTGAGCTCCGCAGCGGCTTTATCATCCAGAGGCTCACACCACCTCGGCCTTGCCACTGCCCCCCGCCTTTCTTCCTTTCTCCCCAGGTTCACCCAGAACCTGTCCGTCTTCAGAAGAGACGTGGCAGAGGCCCTGCGCAGTGACGGCAGCACCGAGCCGTGCAGTCTGGACATGATGAGCTGACCGCCTCCCCCGACCATGTGCCGAGCAGCCTTTACCGAGAGACTCTTGTGCGTCTGGGTCCCAGGACAGTGATGTTGGCTAGCCCAGGAGAATCTATTTTTCAAAACAAACAACAACAAAATCCCTACCTTTTTATAAGTCTGGCCTAATTATAAGAATTTATAATAGTGCACAATGTAAATTCAGTCTTTGCTCTGAGAAAGCAAAAGATGGGTTTTCAGTCTTTCTATAAAATACCATTATCTTTGTTCTTATAATGCTCTGAAAGGGTGTAGAAACAATATTTAACCAAAGAACTTAATAAACCAAGTTTGAACCTAAGTCTGTACTAGTTAATGGTACTCTGTAATCAAGGTGGTGAATGTCTTGGAGCTACAGCCTTCAACGTGGATCCTGAGTTGAGACAAATACCATTTGAACCCGTTAAATTAGTAGTTTGTTACGAGTCTGGAAGAGGCAGCATTGGGGTCTCTGAGCTGTGGGCCTTTAGAACGAGCCTGGGAGCACTCCAGAGCATCCCACAGGACTGCGCACAGCCCTCCTGGCCTCAGCAGCATCTGATAAAGTTGAGAGACAGTAACACAATTAAATGACTTACAAACAACGTTTGCTTTTCACTGGCATAAATCTGAAGTGGTTCAGTCTAGAAGGATTAAGCCATGCAGTTACTGGCTGCAGAGCTATTCCCTCCGAAGGCGTCGGGCAGCCCTGCAAGAGGCACTGGGTGGGGCGACACCCAGTCCTTCCGCCTCCATCTATCAAGGTGCCTAGTTATGATATATATTCGAAGTGGCCCTGCCTCCTGGGGCCACACAAAACAGTGCTAGGTGCTAAAGTTCAGATTTTCAGAGGACGAAGAACAGCTGGTTTCCATCCCTTCACAAAAACTCTTACTACCGTGGGGGTTGCAACTTAACCCAAACCCCAGGACATGAATGAAGGAGCCCTTTCCAGTTTGTGGTAGACTGTAACTAGGCTATTAATTTGAGACTGCCCCTGTCATATGGCTTTTGTATCTTACTGCTCTGTCCTCATGGTTCAGGCTTGTAGTAAATATTGTGCCCTTTATTGCTAATAAGACATGAAAGGTTGGCCTGACTGGTGAAGAAGAAGTAAATCCACAGGCTCCTGTTATAATCACGTTTCCCAGACTAGTGTTTCTTGAAACCTTTCTTGATAGTTGAGTTTAGCAACGGGCTTGTCACATCAAAGCAAAGTCACCCAAGTTTATCTCAAAATGTTTCTCTTCTGTACATGAGGCCAGGAAATCAGGGAAATGTGTGTTACAGAGAGGGTTGCTTCTGGTATTCTGTAGATAAGCAAGCCTTGGCCTTACGCTATACTTCATTAGCAGTGGGAAATGTGATTTTCCTTGAGAAGGCAAACTTTAAATTTATAAAACATCAACTATTGGAAGAAGTCTGACTTGAGAATTTGTTTCTCATCCCACAAAAATGCTTCATAGATGGCCTACCCCATTCTGACACTCCTTTACAAAAGCACCACCCCGTCTGCATTGAAACACTCACGAGAAAATAAGAGTGTGCCCTTGCTTTTCTTTGCCACACTGCTGAAGGTCACCTGGTGGTTTCACCCCAGCCAGGAAAGGCTCCATCAACCTTGGCCTTGGAGAGCTGCTCCTACAGGAGGACTTGTCAGGCCTGCCCCCACCGCTGACTGCAGCCTGCTCGTTGTCATGGGGGTGGGAGGGGGGGGTTCCAGAGCACACTGAGAGGCTGCACACAGGCTGAGAGCAGACACAGCACACACTTAACACCTGCCATGCCCCTTACATACGTTCTCTCCCTCGGTCCCCACAAGAGCCCTGTGAAAGGAGACAGCATTACACCCACTCTGCAGATGAGGACACGAAGGCCCAAAGGTGGTACATAGCTTGCCCAGACCACACAGGTGAGATCCGAACCCATGTCTCTCTGACCTCAAAGCAATTCCTGGTTTCTTCCAAGAAGACGTGTATTTCAGAACGGTGAGTTGAAACCAATTAATATTTACATCCACTTCTGTTTGTTTTTCTGAACCCTGTCAGTACATAACAAATTACCCCAAAATGTGGTGGCTTAGAACAACATTGATTATCTCACAGTTTCTGAGGGTCAGAAATCTGTAGCTGGGTCATCTGCTTAAGGGTCTCTCACAGACTGCCATCAGTATTGTTGGCCAGGGCTCAGCTGGGGAAGGACTTGCTTCCATGCTCACTCGCAGTTCGGAGTCAGTTCCTCATGGACTGGCGGTCTGAGAGCCTCAGTGCCTTGCCCAGTGGGCCTCTCCATAGGGCAGCACACAACATGGCATCTCGCTTCGTCAGAACGAGCAAAAGAGAGAAGAGACGGTGCTGCAGTCTGGAAGTCCAGGCTTTTAGCTAATCTCAAAGGGGGCATCCCCTCGCTTCTGCTGTATTCTGTGAGAAGTAGCTCACCGGGACCAGCCCATACCCGAGGGGAGGGGTTACACAAGGGCGTGAATACCTGGAGGCAGGGGTCTGCGGAAGCCATTTTCAAAGATGCCTGCCAGAGCTCTCTATCCGGTCTCTGCTGGAGAGGTTGAGTCTGGCTACCGGTTTCTCCTTAGACACCTGGAAAGGAATCCTGATTTTCTTTGGAGGGCTAAGTTCCATTCTGTGCCCTAAGGACAAAAAGGGGGTAGGGAAGCTGGGATGTTTCAGGAGCACATTATACGGCACGTTCCGCCCCCAACCGAAGCGGTGTGGGAACCACGCCCCCACCCACCACCTGTCCCAGGAAGGGCTAGTGGGGACTCCTGGGCAAAAAGTTCTCCGGAGGGACACGCAAACTGTGGAATCTACACAAAAGAGAACCGGGTGGATCTGTTATGTGCTCGAACGCGATCACAAGTGTATGTAACACATTCAGCAACAGGAAGAAATAAACGGTGCAGGCAGCTCTGTGGGGCCAGAGTGAGGGTGAGGCGGGCGGTGCGAGCCAGGCTGGGGCACCTCGTCCTCCGCGGGGGTCTGCGGTGCAAACGTGCGGGAGGGCGGGGCTCTAAATCTAGCCAACTGCCCCAGCTGATACTCGAGCAAGAAACAGTGTGAAGGTGTTTTGACTTTGCTCAATGTTTGCATTCCACACTGACTTAAGAAGCTGACCCTGAGAAAGCTGTATCCTGCTTGTGTTCTAGATGTTTCCATTTTTCTGGGCTTTCCATTCAGGCTTCTCTTGGGTAGGGGGGGCGGGTAGAGATGAGGGAGCATGATGTCCCTGCACCATGTGAGGATTCCCAACTGCCCAGAAAAGCCCTCTCAGCCCCCAGACTCCCCAGACTCGCTTCCACTGGCCCTGCCAACCTGGAAGTGCTGTTGGGTTATGGTACTGGAGGTCTCTTCCAGCATGCAAAACAGGCCTGGCGTATAGCCACCAACTGAGACCCTTGACAGTTACCCACCGACAGAGAGTTGAGCCTGAGAACAAAGTCTGGATGAGAGAAATTGGCGAAGGTGAAAAATCTGGCATATGGGAACCCTATCTAGATGGAGGCCAGTCCAGCGGTTGGGAGGGCAGTAGCATTTGGGAGAACTCAGCTCCTTACAGTGAGGAGGGAAAGAGCACCTGGAGAGGAGAGCAAGGTGAGTAGAAAGGGAGAAAGTAACAGCTTCAATGCGAAAGTTGAATGATTACAGCCACTATATCATTTATTGAGCACCCCCTGAGCACTGCAAAATTGCCATCTCATTTAAATTTAATGTTTCCCAATAAGAATGTCAAGTATGCAGTAGTATCCCCATTTTAGAGATGAGAACACTGAGGCTGAAAGACTAACCCAAGGCCACAAAGCTAAAAAGTGGACAAGCCAGGATTCAAAGTCAGGTCAGCCAGACTCCAGAACTCATGCATCTTTTCCTCTCTCACCCCTGAAGCTGGGTACATCACCACGGGGCTCCAGGGACAGTGGGTGGGGAGGTGGACCCGGAACCTTCCAAGGCCCCCAAATGAAGCTGGACACTCTCAGAGAAAGGCCAGTCCAACACCTGGGCTCCTTGAGTGCTGTGTCGATGGCTTCTGCCACCGATTCATCCTCCTCCCTGAACTTTATAAAATCATTCTTGAGACTTTTTAATGTTTTATTGAGGTGCAAGTTTACGATGACAGCAAACCTTTCAAACTACAGCAAGAGTAACCTGCCTCCTTGGCATATTAAAAAATAATGGCGGTGTCGGTTTTTACGTCCCATAGTTTGGATTGCTGATAAGAGCGCTTCCTTGACAAGATTCTTTTTGAGGTTTACAGAAAGCGTAATAAAATATGTAAGTTACATTTCCACAAACAAAAGCTATAACATAAGTTATTTATAAGCGTGAGATACAAACAGTATCACGATAAATAAACCATAAAGGGTACCTGCAACATCCATCTTAATGTAATTTGCCCAACCAAAGTGTTGAAACGAAGTCAAATTTACTAGAGAAATCTGTCAGGAAGAGAGGAAAGGTGTAGAAGATGAAATGGAGAAAATGGCTGCTGGGTGGTGGAGGGAAAGAGCAGAGCATAAGGTCAGGGGTGGGAGTACTTCAGAAGGCCCCCGCACGGGGCCGCCCTCGGTGCCCGTCCTCGCCCCCCAGTGCCTGAGGGCCCTGGCCAGTCCCTGCCCCCTGCACACGCGGCCATCTGCGCACGGTCCCCGCTCACACGCCCCTCCGCAGCCTCCAGGAGCCCCTCTCCCTCCCTGTCTCACACGCACCCTCTGTCCTACTCCCAGCCCCACGGCCAGTGTCTTCATGTGGCTGCCGGCCGCCCTGCCAGGCTGGGCCCCCCTCCAGGCCAGGGCCCCGGTTGGACTCAGCACAAAAATCCTGGGAGTCATTCATTGCTCCACCATAGATAAAGCCATGAATGAGACAAAGTCTCTGCCTTCAGAGACCTGCTGAGCAGGATAAATAAGAGGGGTCCCGCAGGTGATGGAGGCAATGATGAAAATAATCAGGGATGGACAGTGACAGGGGAGGGGGGCTGCTTTGGAGGGTGCTGGACTGCGCACAGACCTGGACGAACTTGGATCCCTTTTCCTCTCCGCTCATCTGACCTTGCTGTGTACTCTTCAGTTAAGCACCACAAACTCTCATGATGATCCTCCAACAGCCCCAGCCCCAACACATGGAATCAAATGCCGCCAACACTCTTCTCTCCTGAAGGAACTCTCAGGCCAGTGGGGGTTGTGGGGGGGACAGAAGTGAGCCCCTGCACGGCCAGCCCTCACCCCTGCTCCTGAGCTCCTTCCCCCAGCTCCTCCACGGATTTGCCCTCCCCACTCAGTCCTGTGCCTTGGAGCCTTACTACCTGCTCCCAGAGTAGAAATGGGAGTATGGGGTAAAGGGAAAAGCATGGGCTCTGGAGTCAAGACAGTCCTGGGTTCAGATCCCAGCTCCAGCCTTCCCAGCTGCATGCCCCTGGACTTCACTTCCCTAAGCCGACTGTCCTTTGAGTCTCACGACCTGTGCTGGGGAGGCACAAAGAGCACACAGTACCATGTGGCCTCTGCCTTCCTCCGGCTGGCAGAATCTTGGGCCCTTGAAGGCCTTCTCTGGAAGGTTCTTCCCCTAGGATCCCCATCGTGGGAAGGCAGCAGTGAAGAGCTTAAACTGCCTTACTCCCACTATCAGATGGGGAAATTGAAGCCCAAAGTTGGGACATGGTCCAGAAATGTGCATAGCACATAGGTGTTGAATAAGTGGATGAATGAGTGAATATATTTGGGCAGGTGTCTTTAGAGCCTTCCATCCTGAGAACTGCCAGTGCCCCTAGAGACTTCTTACTAGGGTGTGCGAACCAAGAATGGAAGGTGGACAGGTAAGCAGCCTGTGTCATGGTACATGTGCCAAATGATGTGTTTGTGTCTTTGTCTATGGAAGTAGTCCTCAGTACTTTCATCAATCTTTCAAATAGGATTGCGGACCCAAGTATGTGTAAGAGCCCCGATTCAATCTCTACCCCATTTCATAGGTAGGGAAATGGAGTCCAACTCACAGAAGAGGTCGGTGGCAGAGCAAGACTGAACTAAGCTGGCCTCCTGCCCATGGGCAGTTGGGAATTCCAACATCCTGTCTCCCATCCCTGAAGCCACCCCTCTCTCGTCTATGTCTCCCAGCAAGGCCTCCAGCAGTTCT